GCAGCACACTAGGGCAATAAAGGACTTTCAGCATCTTTTTAGTATTCCAACCATCTCTCATGACATATGCAAGCTGCCTTTTATAGAAGACAGAAAAACATAGCTCGAATATGCACAAATATTTTTAAGAAGGAAACATAGTAAACAGTAGGGGTAAATTAAAACTGCTGAAGGTTCATTCCTATAAAGTTTTAATCAGACCCAATTTTGTTGAGCCTGGAATGGGAAGAGAATCATTAACTTCTATTTTGGGAGGTTATGATAATCAGAAATTCTGACAATAATGATTTACCATAAGGCACAAGAAAGGCATGGCCTCAGGTGGCATGATTGAAGTGCATCCAGTTCCATTCTCTATGAAAAAGGGATTAGAGCTTGATTAATACACCAGATCTCTGCATTCAAGGGCTCATAATTGTCTAGTCAATAGGGACTCAGACTCAGATATTCTGTTTTTACCCCATCTTCTTTGGTGTTTCAAAAAAAAAAATTTTGTTGACACTGTGGGAAAGAATCTCAAAAAAATGCCAGCAGAGGACATGCAGTCCATATCTTTTGTTCACCCAAAGGGGATTTGGAGGCAAAGAAAGACTTTCCCAAGCTCAATAAACATGGTGAACTTACAAGATAGCAAGGAACCTTTTTCACATTTAGTTATTAAAACAATAGAATAAATTAGCAAATTATTTTTAAAAAGTCATCAGATTCTACCATCCTAACTTAGTAGGCCAACTTCATCCATGGATGCATGCATAGAGTTTTTGCAATTGATGTGGTTATTTTCAATAGAATTGGCATGACTTGGTCATGAGATTGGATGTGGGCACAGAGGACAATAGAGGTTACAAAGTTCCAGGAATTTCACTTGGGTAATCTGACAGAGGTAAATACCTGATGAGTTCCATCAGCACAAGAATGAAGGTAGGATCTCATTTTCACAGCCCCCTTTCCAGCTAGACTCAGTCATGTGACAAGTGCTCCGCCAATCATATGCGCCAGCATAAGAAGTCCATTCAAAAGTGAGCAAAGGGAGGAGGCCAACAGCACACGGAATGTATTTTTCCAAAAGCTTTGGGAGTGAAGCAATGGAGGTTCAAAAATACAGAGGCTAGCATCCTGCATCTGAACCCAGACATGACATTAGTGGGTTCTGCTATATAAGCCTTGATTTCTGGTTTGGGCCATGTTCCCAAATATATAACTTCCGAGCTTGATTCGCTTGCTTTTCTGGGGGGTTTCTGTGTTACCTGGACTCTAACATACTTTTCTGTCCGTACCTGCTAGAGCATATGGTAGCTGGTCTCCAAAGACGACTTGCCTATGAACCTCACCTCCTGGTGTTGTCCCTTCCCTTGAATCTGAGCGAGTCCTGTGACTTACTCACGACAGAATACACTGCAGTGACACTGTGACTTCTAAGCCCTATATCACAAGAATGCATACAGCTTCTTCCTGCACCTCTTAGAATGTTTGCTCTTGGGAAGCTTGAGTTTGGAACCCAGCTACCATGAAGTGAGAAGCTTAAGCCACACAGAGAGGCTCTGTCATGTAAGGACAAATCAAATTTTAAAAAGAGGCTTAATTTTTCCTGTTGAAAGTAAGAGATTTCTCTCTCCTTCTATTTCTTGGAGCACTTACTTTAAAAACTTATAAGTACTTGCTCCTTTCTTTGAAATATAAAAAAACCTTTAGAAAACCTTTGTCAGCGTTATGACAGAGGAATGTCTTTCTTAAGGACTTGGGAGCCATTTCTTTAAAATGTAAACATGAAGAGGGCTAGTAAGCCCTCTCTCACCCACCTGTCTCTATCTTTATTTCTCTCTCTCTCTATCTCTAACTCTATCTCTACTTGTTTCTGCCAGCTGGTAGGACCCTAACTCCTAACTTGAGTGGGTACCTTTCTCCTAGTTGCAGAACCATCTCCTGTCATAAAGTTATCAGAAGGTGGTTATTCTTATGGGTAAAGCCAACTCGCTAACCCAGATGGTCACCCCAATTATACATAAAGTTAGGATGAACTGTGTGAGACAAAAGGTACCATCAAGTGCTCTTATGTGAAAACTAGTTATTGTGTATCTTGAGAATATGTATGTAATAGACTGTGTCTGCTTGACTGTATGAGAGTGAGACTTCATTCTATCTTTCAATCTCTTAGTAGATTGCTTCTGATGTGCATCACGTTCTGGCTTAATGTTTATTCAACAGTAAAATTGTTTTCCAATTCTACTACCTTTGTAGAGAGTTATTCAGAGGTGGGAGAAGATTATGTTTTTAATTGTGTTTCCCAGGAGTAGGCACTGTAGTTATCAACCCTAGCTGAGGTCCCAGATGATAGCCAACACCTGCTGCCAGCTGTGGAAGTGAGCCATCCTGGACGTCCAGCCCAGGGAGCCCTCAGATGACTCAGCCCCAGCCAATGTGTGACCAAATCACAGGAAGGATGATGCCAGAGCCCTCTGGCTGGGCCAGCCAATCATAGAACGGTGAAAGATAACAATGAATTGTTGTTTTAAGCCACTAAGTTTTGGGGGAGTTTATTATACAGTCAGAGATAACCAAAACAAATGACTTTTGTTCTTACAATTAAGAGCTCTGACCCAGATACATACATATAATCTCCTTTCTCCTTCTACATGGCGAGCATCTTGGGACATGGGGGTCCATTCCATCTCCCAACCCTCCTCTTGGAACTGGTGTCATTTTTTGCACAGAGGAGTTGTTAATACATTTTCCTGCCTAAATTGCTTTTGTGGACAGATTGAGATTTAGGTGAAGATGAAACAACAAACTGGCTGCAATACATGTCCGTCGAACTGAATTTAATATTTGTATCTAACTATCTAACATCTGCTTCTAAAAAGCATTTGCTTCTTTTTGTTTACATATTCCAGAGATCATTTCCCTACAGTTTAAAGCCAATACATACAAAATTATATGTGGGGAGTACCAAGATTATTTCCTTCTTCAAAGACCATTTCTAAGCTCTGCCCTTGGTTCATTGGGCATGTTGCTCGTATGCTCACTTCAGGTGACACCACTTCAGGTTCTGTGCCTACTTTTTCCCCATTTGAATGGTGCAATTAAAAGCTCTCTATCTGTTGACCAGAGGGACCTCTTTCACAAGCACCCACAGAACATTGTCAAGAGTGAAAACAAGTGATTAGGCACAAAAAGTCTGCAGGGACCTGTTGTTCCCTATCTCTGGAGCACCAGCCTGTGTGTGCAATGATTATTGGATTATGTTCCTGCAGATGCATGCTGTCTTTTGCGATTTGACTTTCCCATACCCCTGATGGATCACTGACTCACAGGTTTTAGTATAAAAGCAAGCCAGACACTTTCTTCAACGCTTTTTTCAGGATTGGTAAATGCCTTTCAGTTGCAATTTATACTGAACTTGGCAACTTAAACCTGCTTTCCTTCATTGATCTAGATCTTTCCTGACATGATTAGACCTTGACAGAGAGGCTCAGGAAACTTGGGCTTGCAGCACCAATTTCCTACCTTTCCCCCATCCTTTATTAAAAGCATCACATGGTAGGATTCACCAGACCATCCATGTAGAGAAAGAATTGTCGACAAGGAGATGTAAACCAGACTACAAAGTCTGTTCCAGGCAACCACCTCGTGTCTGGAGCACTGACATCTCTGACCTACTTCTGTTTTCAATAGAACCTTGGATAACGACCTAATGACAGTAGAAGGTTCTTGAGCAATTTGGGAAAGTATGGCAAAAGAGTGAGGTTGGGGGAATTCATTCATTGCCTCAGCAACTTCACTCCTAAACAGGCAAAATGTGAGTATGCACCTCCCAGAGTTGCTGGGAAGCCCAACAATGATCGTAATGTAGGTAATACCCTGAGTTTTGTGTCTAGCTCCTTGCAAAGAGCTGATTCAAAGACATCTTTGATTATTTTCATGCCCAGGGCCATACTGGGAGCTATGCATTCTGTTTGGAGCACTATGTTTTAAGGGGGACATTGCAAAATGTAGAAATACAAATGGAGAAGGAGGAAAAGGACAAAGAGAAAGAAGAGGAGGAAAAGAAGCAGAAGAGAAGGAAAAAGAGCAGATAGAGGAGGGAGAGGAAAATGACAAGAATGATGAAGGGCCTTGAAATAACATCAAATGACAATTCGGCAGGAAAGGAGCCATCACAGCTAGAGAATACCAAACACGGAGGTCATTAGAACCAATATGCATCATGGTTAGGAAACAGCCTTTGTCCTGTCGGCAATTACATATTCAATGCTTATTGTATTCCCAGCATGCTGCTAAGACCTGGGGATGCAAATGTGGTCCCTGCCCTCAGAATGGAGAGGATCTGCAGAGGTGACAGCTAACTTAACCGGTCCCTGCTGTGGAGTGTAATGGATCTGTGGCAGCTGGCTATCATGGAACAGAGAGGGGGCATCCAAGTAGCTTTTGGGGGGGTAAGAGGAAGGTGGGAGTCGTTGGGGAAAGCTTCGAGCTACCACATTCTCAGGCTAGGATACTGCAGAAATAACTTGGCCGTTGTTAAGTCTCAGATGCTCATCTGTGAAGGGGGAGTCATACAGCACCTACTTCACACAGGTGCTGTGAAGAATAAAGAGGACAATCCATGTAAATTAGTTTACCAGGACATGCCTTGGTCTAGCAAGGGACTAACCTGGTGGCCCAGGGGGGCAAACTAACCTCACCAAATGTTTAGTCAATGATTCTAAAGGAAACGAGGTGGCAATGTTTGAAAACTGGAAAATTTCTCAGGAAATTTATATTTCTAGTTTCTCATGAAAAATGGGAAAATCTGGTGACTCTGCTCTTGTGGTTCCATATGGTAACAGTTGGCTGGAACTGAGCAACAGCTGCCCTTCTGGGCACAGTTTCTGCCCTTCCATTGGCCACAGGCCTCAACAGTTCCCTTTTTTCAGGTGTGCTACCTGCCTGGCGCTGCAGGCTTCTGAACCGCCCACACTGCTGGATACAATGCGAATTGCTTACCTCAGCTCTGCACCCTCCCTGCTTTCTCCTTCTTCATTTCAGCGATCCTGAATAACTTAAAATTCCACCATGACCTCTGTGCTTCAGGGCTCTTTTTCCTGCTATTCTTTCTGCCTGAAAGAGGAAGAACAAATCAATCCTTGCTGAGGCGGACTTGCATGATATTTTCATGTGTGGAAAGATTAGACTAGGCAAAACCACAGGTCGAATGGCACATCATTCTCTGGGTAGTTGTAGGAGAAATATTGGGTTTACTCTTCTTGCTAAAGGTGGAACATCTCTGCCTTACCCCTGTTGTTTCTTTCCAAGCCAAGGGAGCTTTATCACAGTAACACACCTGGCTCCTCCCAACCTTCACTCCTTCCCGAGGGATGAGTGCACTTGGATGAGTCTGAAAGAAAGAACAGGAAATGCACAGCCTAGTTCTTGGGTCCATCCTTTTCTCCTTCGAGCTAGTTTGCCTACAGAAAGCAAACGTTTTTCCCCGCTTCTGTCATGTGGTAAAAGGAGCCTGCCCCAGCAACGGAGAGCTGCAGGTTTCCAAGTCCAGCTATGTCTAGATGTGGTAGATGATTCAAAACACTGGTGACAATGTATTCCTGGCACTGTATCCAGTCCTGTTAAGGAGTCCATACAACTTCTCAGGGCAGACAGCTAGGAGAAAAGGGACAGTAGGCTTGGGGTTAGGGAGGGAAATTGAAAGGTATCTAGACATCATCACCTTTCAATTCTAACCTCATGTATCTCTCTGCTGCTTTTTATTTTTTAATTCCTCAATCTGTAGAGAACAATCATCCATCTTTGCCCGTTCAGCATCTGACTTGTTCATGAAGACTCTGCCTCCCACTCTGGAATCAGAAAGGCCTGAAATGTGCTTTCCCACCCCCCACTGAAGTAAAGGGGCCTTCCCTGCTCCAGAAATGCTACTTCAGGAAATTCACTGCAGAATCTGAAAAGTTCTCCCTGACCACAAAGAATCTACCAGCAGATCCATGGAATTTCTAAATGCCTTATTCATCAGCAGCACAGTGCATTCAACACTGCCTCTAAACAAGAACTTCATTTTATAGTGAGAGAAACAGTAATAGCATTAAGCTCATTCACTAATCTTCTTGTATACCTCATCACCTGAGGACTCTTGGCCATTTAGAATAGTGGGAAGGCTTTTTGAAAACTCAGTTATGATGCTCGTTGGACTGCCTGGCAAGGCTGAGTTACAGCTCTGCACATAAAATGCGGTATATGCTCTGAGCCAAATACTGCATAGGCTGTTTCTTCTATAGCCAGAATACATTGCATTCCATTCCCACAACTCTGGGCTTGAATGGTTTATAAAATTTAGTGTCCAAGAGAAGAATGTTTCCTTTGGAACACATGGCATTATTTTCTTTGTATAGGGCTCTGAACTACCACCTGCCTAGTCAGGCTTCTCCCTTAGAGGGAAAAGGAGAGTGAAGGTGCTGGCTGGGATGATGTATTCCAGTCGGGCCCTTCGGTCAGGCCTGAAAGGCTGGACTGCTTATGCCACAAGGGGGAAGGGAGGTCTAAGTCTGGAGCACAGAGATCTCCTTTGATGCCTCAGTAGTATTGTCTCATCTAGTGGTAAAATGACCCTTACTTCTCAGGAATGAGTGGGTCACTCCACCAAGTAGAGGACCTCCAACAGCTGAGGAGTGGGCTGAAATCAAAGGCAACAGGAAATGGGTAACAGAAAAGTCACAAATGTATGAATACAGCTGTGACCTTATGAACAATTACAGTAATTAGGACTCAGCATCTACTGTCACTTTCTTTCTCCTTGTCTTGCATGTACACAAATGTATTGAGCAGTTTTCTTCCTTTCCCCTTTGTCCTGCTGTGCTTTATAAGGTGTATTGGTGGTAGTTAACTTCATAACTTATTTCTGTAGAACACAGAATGTTAATGGGATTGTGACTCGACTAGAATAAGAATGGAAATCAGCAGACTCGGAGCTGGAGTTGGTAACTGCAATGACCTCATGCTGGCATCTTTGAGAGAGGAGATGAAAATATGTTCTATTTTATGAAGGACATATGCATTATATTAGGTGAAGTTTTTGTTGATTGCTGTGTATGTGTGTGTGTGTGTTGATAGTATAAATATGGGAAAAATAGCTGGACATGTTGATGCTGAGCAGCCAAATGGTAAGCATTTGCCATGTTTTTTGGCTGCCTGGCATTTAAACCTCCTTCCTATATATAAAAAGTCCACTCCTGGTAGGGCAAATCCTTCTCCCACAAGAATCAGAAAATGCCATCTGTTCTCCCACACCTATGGTCAGGCCAACCTTGCCTACTGGATATACCCACACCAAACTTTGAATTGAAAGGTACTGATGAACAAGAAAAAAAAGACCTCACTGAATCTATGCAGGAGATGGGTGGCAGCAGCAGTAACTGTAGCTACCCTGAGCTGGCATGACAAAAGAGGTGATGTCCACAGTCATGAATAGTCCCAGAGATGAGAGTGTATGGGGTTAGTTTCCTGTGATTTGGGTGCTGTCCCTGCCTGTAACTTCTGAGCTGAAATCTCAGGCTCTCCTGACTATTCTGTAAGTTATCCAATTGTCTTTTAATGAATTCATTTTCTGGTTCAATCAGTCAAAGCTGGTTTCTGTTGGTTGGAATTTTTCACCGTGATGAATATATATCATTCATTCACAATATATAATTCAAAATGAATATTAGTTGAACTCCCACTGTGTACCAGACACTGAACTAAGTTCAACTAGACACCATGGGTACAACAGTGAGCAAATGCAGAAATGGTTACTGCCTGCATGGAGCTTAGAGTTTAGGGAGGGAGATTTGGTATTGATTCTGTTACCTTTGCACATTTTACGTCCCTTGAGGTCCATAACATGAATTTCTCCTGATAGTAAAGCAAAATGTTATTACTGAGTAACAGTGAGGTGATACTTTTTCTTTAGACTACCCTGCATTTTCCAGATTCCCTATAATTGGCATATATGTCTTTTTAAAAACATATCTTTTCCATTAGACAGATTGCAACACTATTCTCCAGCTGGAATCATTGGAACCTGAAAAGATTTTTGGTTGATGCATTAATAAACTATTTTCCACTGCTCTGTATAATTATAACAGCATTTGGAATTTATAGTTGGTTTATGTGAGATTATACCAAATTTACTAACATATTAATATGTCTTAAGATGATGGGTAATATGTGCTTTATTTTATTATTAGCACAGTTATAAAAAGGTCAGATAATGTCAAGAACAATTTTATTGAACATTTGAATTAATAACCATGGGAAACTATTCTTAACAGACTGGCAATTAAAATAGTCAATTTTAATACTGACTTATTAAATGTCTGAACTCTGGCACCTACCAAATTATGTAAAATAGTATTACTTCACCCCCATGGTGAATGAACAATCATATCAACAGAAATCAATGACATTTTTCCTCTCTCCTTTTCTCCCACAGCTCATTCTTCATGCTGTGTTTGCTTATCTGAATCATCTGATGGTCCCTTATGTTCAGACTTCTGCATCCCACCAAGCTTGCCTTTTCTGGTACTATTTAAAAGTGGATAAATTTCACTGTGGTTTTGGACAACTAGTTTGAAACTAAGTTTAATAGAAACGTGGGAAATTCCATTTGCCGTATTTCATGAATCATTGGGGTTTCCTTTGGCCAACTAAACCCTTCTTTGGGAGAGTAATTCCTCTTCGTTTTGCTGCTAAATGTCTATTCCTGTAGCTTTCTTTCCTGTCCACTTTGTTTCTTCATTTATAAGCTGCTCAATTAAAAATGCTCTTACTGTTACTATCGATCATTTATCCTCAAACCCAACGACCTATCCTTTTCCTCTCTGGAGACTTCTATACATTAGTAAGATTGCCATCTTCCTTAAAAAAGCAAATCCCAAATCTCCTAAGGATGACAATTGGAAGGGAAAATTGGAAAGGAAAGCTGGACCCATAAACCCCACCTTTGTCTCTCTGAAACTCACCTTCGTCTTTGAGAGATGCACATCTCAGAGAGACCTGGTGGTACGTAGTATGTTTTTCACCTGGAACTGAACATTTTCAGACAATCTCTTCCCCTATGACAAAAATATTTTTAGAAACAATGTAATAATCAATAAAATAAAATATAATCTTGGCTCATTTTTTACTTTTGAAATAATTAATTTTAAAAGAATTTTGTAAATTACAATAACATTCAAAATTAGTAGACTAGTTCACATAGGAACTAAAATTTGCACTTCCAAACAATATGATGTATTACAGTTCACAATTCACCATTTTAAAATTTAAACACAAATAAATCTCTAAGTTGTCACATAAACTTGAAGTACCTCAAATTCTCTTTCTTAGTCTTTACAATCATGGTACTACCATTGTTTATTTTGGTTCCACTATTTAATTGCAAGGATACTTTGTGCCACAGGATGTGGAGGCTGAAAATGAACCAAAAGCTAGCACAAATAATTCAGAACCTCTGAATCACTCCCAGAATGAATAGGTGTAACTGTCCATACACATCAAGGCCCATGTTTAAAATTGGGAGTTCTCCAAAGTAACTTCCATATAGAATATTATATTTATTAAAGGGCAAGTAATAAAAATGAGCTAATTCCATATAAATGATTAGGACTCATGGCAAACACAGAAATTGATTAGAGCTTAGAACAACAAAAGACTTTTTCAGAGTATGTTATCACTGACATTGTTCACAATAGTCATCTCCTGGGGATAATAAAAAGCAGTCACACTTGGAATCCATCTTACTGTTGTTAAGTCCTTTGCAAAGAATGCATCCCTCTATAGCCTGCATCTGTGATGGACCACACCCACCCACTGACGGCCTTCTGTGAGTCAATGGCAAGGCAGTCTCCAACCTCTCTATTTAGTAAGTAGATCTTGTTCTCCCTACTCCCATTTCTTTTTATCACAGAACCCTATGACTTTGCTTTACAGCACTTAACATAACATTTAATTATACATTTGTTCATGCAGTTACTTACTGTCTATCCCACCACAATGCAATCACCATGAACTGTTGTGTCCCAGCACCTAGTGGATGCCTGACATATAGTAAGTACTCAATATACTTTTAAATGAGTGAATGCATGCATGAATGAGTTAAAGTCTAGTTCAGGTGACAGTGGCCGTGGGGAAGAGATCATGTAATACCTGGTAGTGGTTTATGCAAAAATAGAACAGTGAGTATGACATGACTAGGTATGCCCCGGCCAGTTTGCCCAACCTAATTAAAATCATGAGAGATTGAAGTATATAAATCAGATGTCCATGTGATGAGAAATACAACTGCCAGGTAAGCCAGGAGTTTGCACTGGCCTTACCAGGGGATTCTTTCTTACAGAAAATATAGAAGAGAAGCCAAACCAAGATTCCTAGTAAACCCAGGACTGAGGCCAGGAGAGTTAGATACCTACTTCAGATGTTAAACAGCATAGTGACTTATTTGGAAAAGGGCCCTAATGGTTGGGGGGAAGGGAGAGAATGGGATATGTAGAAGGAATGCCTCATCTTTGCAAAAGGATACACAAGGAGTATTTGAATCTTTGAGTCTGAGCCCCCTTCCCTAAGACCTGCTCATAAGATTCTACCAAAACCTGCCTCTTTGATTCTTCTCTTTCCCTGCAACATTGGTGATCACTTCGAGGCTGGCTGAAATACTCTTGTAATGTGAGCTAACAGAGTGATCACAGGCTGTATGGTCAGATAGAACTGCTTTGAACTGGCCCTGACATCTTCTTGCCTCAGTTTCCTCATCTACAACAAAAGGGTAAATGACACTTATCTCATAGGGTGATTATGAAGATCCAATGACATATTGTATTAGTCTGTTTTGAGAGTTACTGGCCTGGATCACAATATAATTTTAACTGGGCCTTTTACTCACTGTGTTGGCTCCATAGCAGCTAGGTTTATACTGTCCACCTTCAATAAATTAACAGCAGTGATAGTCCCAATTAATGGCCTCACTGGATACACCACCTCTGTCCTGTAATTCTGTAGCTTGCTTTATTCGAATGCCAGGCTCTGTCACATGACTTGCTTTAGCCAAAGGGACAGAGACAGTAGTAAACTTTATTTAAGCCAAGGCTTGAAAAAGAGTTTGCACATTAGCACTTTTGGTCTTAGAACACTATCCTGTTGTGTGATCCTGAGCTAGCCTGTTAAGAGAATGAGAGACCATGTGGATCAGATCCAAGTTGTCCCAGACAAAGACCTAGTAAACCAGTCAGTTCCCAGGCACCCACCAGCTGACCACAGATGCATGGATACATCTAGCCAAATTTGGTCAAGCCTGGCCCAGATCAGTAAAACCATGCAGTTGACTTATAAACTCATGAGAAGAAATAAATGGTGGTGGTTTTAGGCCTCTGAGTTTTGGGTGGTTTGTTGTGCAGCATTACCGTGGCAATAAATAACTACTGTACCATATGTTTAGCAGCTACAGTTGATTGAATACTTGGCTAAGCCTGTACTAATCTGATTTTCTTGGAAATTTGGAACTAGGATTGACAGAGAAGAGTTCAGCCTGAGCTAGTACTTTGAATACAGCAGATAATAAAGCTTCAGATTGGAATGATCGTCTGTAGCTGTGTGAATGGAATAGCAAAATAATCAGTCTGCAGTGTTAAACAAGAAAGAGAGATATGAGATATATTAATCCTAGTGTTTTTGATGAATTTCTATTAAATTCCAGTCCTTTTGAATTTGCTGCATTCTGTCATTGTATGCTCATAAATAATTCCGTGTGTATGTGTGTGTGTGTGTTTAAGCTAGCTTAAAGTGATTTCTGATACTTCCAAATGAGATATATTTAGATACACAGATTTGTTTTTTTATCTAAAAGATTGCCATGTATTGACTAGGTACTTAATAAACAGTAATTCTAAGTTCCACAATTCCACTAATTAGGAAATAGGTAAATTCACTTTTCCTGTTTTTGGCCCAATATAACTTTTATCTTTAATATACCTGACATACAGGACTTCATGCATTATATTTCTTCAATAGTAAAATACCATCAGTTGCAAGATAAGCTATTGATTTATTCACAGTCTTTTTGGGAGAAACAAGAAAACTCAATAAATGTATTTCTATTTTAAAAACTAATCAGCAGACTATATATTTATCCATATAATTATAAAGTACTTTCTTATTAATATCACAGTCTAAATTTGGGCTTAAGCCCTCTTCACATTCAGCCCTCAAATATACTTCTGAATCACATTTTTCTCTTTTCCACAATTCCACTAATTAGGAAATAGGTAAATTCACTTTTCCTGTTTTTGGCCCAATATAACTTTTATCTTTAATATACCTGACATACAGGACTTCATGCATTATATTTCTTCAATAGTAAAATACCATCAGTTGCAAGATAAGCTATTGATTTATTCACAGTCTTTTTGGGAGAAACAAGAAAACTTGTTCAGCAGACTATATATTTATCCATATAATTATAAAGTACTTTCTTATTAATATCACAGTCTAAATTTGGGCTTAAGCCCTCTTCACATTCAGCCCTCAAATATACTTCTGAATCACATTTTTCTCTCAATAGCAGTGTGTATAATCATGAAGACATGCTATTTTTCATGAACTTGATCTTGACCTCTATTACAATTTTTTTGTCTGATGGCAGTATTTTGAGGATTATTGGAATTGTCAGCTGAAATCAGCATAGCCATTGCATTTAAGGAAAAAAAACATTAAGTGTCTTACTGAGGGCAATGATCCTAGAGCAGCTAACCATCATGATCTGATAAACTGCTCCAGAGGCCCTTTGGTAACATCTTAAATGCATTTTTTACAACAGGGAGTGGGTACAGGGAAGAGGTTATGTCAATCATACATGAGGTCAGTGTCCTAAAAGAACAGACAATGAGTATTCAGATGCCATCCTATGTGTGAGAGGAAGCAAGGATTAGGATTGTTATTTACCTAAAGGATTCTACTAGGGACTTGAGAATTAGACCCATTTATTTTCTTCTGAGCATTCCAGGCTGGGTTTCTTCATACACCGGTGAGGAGTTATGGGCTGTGAGTCTTGCAACACTGGCAAGAAGGGCTGGAGATTGGTTAAATTGCCAATGGCCAATGATTAAATCAACTATGTCTGTCCAATGGAGCCTCCATAAAATCCCAAAGGACAGGGTTCCGGTTTTCAAACTCATTGGAGGTGTGGGGCAAGCAGCACATCGGGAAAGGGCCTGCAAGCCCTGCATGCTTTCCCCACACCTTGCCCCCTGCATCTCTTCCTGGGTGTTCCTTTGGGTGTTCCTGAGTTATATCCTTTATAACAAACCTGTGTTCTAGTAAGTAAAATGTTTCTCTGAGTTCTATGAGCTGCTCCAGCAAATTAAAGAAACCCAAGAAGGGGGTCCTGGGAACTTCAGACTTGGGCTTGTAACTGGTGTTCTGAAAGTGGGAGGTGCAATCTTGAGGACTGAGCCCTCAGCCCATGGAATAGATCTTGGGATAGAAAGTACCAGAACTTAATTGAACTGTAGGACACCCAGCTAGTGTTCAGTGAATTATTTGCAGATATGCCGAATCGCCCAACCCCCATATTGGACTTGGGTCCAGAACCTAAAACACTGGGTTAGGTCTAATTCCTGTTCTTTTATAACAAATACTGTAGTTGAAAATCCAAGACAAAGAGACCTACAGACCACTCAAAGTATTATCCATATGCTGCTCCTTTATTCTCTAATAAAAACAATGTTACACAACTTTCAGAATTACCCACACTGATTTCAGCCCTCTGCTTGTAAGATTTTTTTTCTCTCATATTTTCAAGCAGGTCTGCCACTCCCCTCCCTCCCTTCATTGGCTATAAATAGGGTTTGGCTGCAACTGGGTTTCAGCTTCAAAGGCATAAAGTGTTCTAGATTTATTTCTAACAATTCCCCCTTCCCCCTGTATTCAAGAATCAAAGTAAAATATCATTAGCAGTGGTGTTATCTAACTCTATTACCTTATTTGAATCAAATTTAATAGGCAGGCCTTCCTTTCTCACTTAGTAGCTACATTTAAGACCAGGATGGCACAATTTATG